TTCAAACAGACAAACACCTGTGACACAACACCCCAGACTTAACAATTGTTGATAAGAAAGGCAAAAAAGTCTGGATAGTGGACATTGTAATACCTGGAGACAGCAGAATAGAAGAGAAAGAACTGGAGAAAATCACAAAACATAAAGACCTGAAAATAGAAGTAGAAAATCTGCAGCAAAAGAAAGTAAAGATAGTATTAATAGTTATAGGCACCTTAGGTGCAATCCCAAGACATCTGGAGCACCACTTGAAGACCATTGGCACTGACAAAATCACCAACAATCAATTGCAAAAGTCAGCTTTACTTGGAACAGCTTATATCCTGCAACGCTACCTTTAACAACATCAAACAACAACATCTGCCTAAGCCAGGTCCTTAGGAAGGACTTGATAGGTGGATAAAAATGCCAAATCCAGCCTAAACATCTGGCTGACTGTGCGACCAACCATAATAATAATAACAATAATGTGCGACCAACAATAATAGATAAATGAGGCCAGCGACAACACACAGGTGATAGAGATAACTCAAGGCTGCTCTCACTGGTGGCTGACCATCCAACCCTGGGTAACACCGTCTCACCGTTAGCTACCTCACCTTCAGGACTAGGGACTGGCATGGAGCTCTACAGAGATCCCAAAAGATTAATTGACCCAAATCAACCTTCCATCATTTATTAACCACCTATTGATTCCCAGCCATTTACCTATCTCCTTTTGGCCCCCAGCCATTTATTGACCCCTTGGATAATCCCATTGATCCCTGGGGGTTAATATTGACAACTTTGGGAAGCCCTGCCCTAAGGGTTTCACCCTGTTGCTACATTCTTACTTTGTAGCTTGGTTTGATATGATTTTACAATACTTAGGAAGAAAAAAAAAGTAGGAATAAAATTAGTGCCCAAATATTACAACAACCAACAGTGAAGTCACAGGGTGATTTCAGTCTGAAACAGAGATGGCTAACTGATCTACTGTGGAGCTATTTTTGTCTCCAAAATAGTTTGATCTGCCCCCTTATGGGACTCACCCAGATTTTCCCTAAAGGAAACAAATACTTTTTCTAAACTTTGTGAGTTAGACATAAGCTGTCTTGATGAACTATGTTCCCCCGTGAAACGTTTATTTATTTTATTTAGTAGACTTGTCCCCGCCCATCTCCCCACAATGAGGGACTCTGGGTGGTTTACATCAAATTAAAACCATAAATACATAATTAAAAGTTATAAAAAGAACCACACTTACACAGATAGAAAAAAGATAAAAAAAATTTATTCCTATTTGGCCCCACATTGATTGCTGATCCAGACTTCTTATGATAGATCAGAAAGAGAAATAAATAACCCAGATGATCTTCAGAAGAATGATGCCCATCTCTGAAGAAATACATTGGACATTTCTAAGTCTGATCAATTAAAATTAAAAGACAGCATAGTATGTCATTTGGTTCCACAAGTTCCAGGAAACCATGAACCCTGAGTTTTTATTAATGAAGGACTGTTAAGATATTGAAATTATAGAATTAGTGGCTCTTTTTAAACTATACCTATTAAACTAATTATAGCTACTTTAGGCAATCAACTCAGTTTGCCTGTAAATAATCCATAGATTCAGAGAAAAACTGAAACAGCATTTTCTTTTGCATGTTAAAGAAAGGAAGCTTGCCTCTTCTAAGACAATGCTTGTTATTTATGTTATCTGTAAGTATTTCTAATGAAGACAAAATCAAATATAAACACAGAAAGGCTCCTTTCCTAATTAATCAGAAAGTTTTTAATCTG